CATGTGCTTTAGCTTAATCCAGAAGAGACTTGAAACATCTCACACATGCATCGAAGAGCGGTTGACGACAAAAACACAAAGCATATAGGATAAAAAGCACATTGTGAAGTATAAAGACCTTAACTCAATCATATGAGGCTGTCAAGAGGATAAAATACCTGCTCACCCTATAGATTTATGCTCTGCAAAACCAAATGAATCACAGAGGATTGATGTTCTACAAGGTACTTCAGAGATACGTTAATACATATGATTGCTGCAGCTACAAATATACAAGGAATATGGGTTTACATCAAGGATATAAAATGTGTTTTGTGCAATTAATTATTGGTTGCTGAGAGTATGAAACCAAAAGTTTCCTGATGACTTTAGGCTGTTCAGAGTCGATTATTTCTTTCTTTTGGGAGACAATAACTTTATTTATCGTGCACTTTCGGCTTTACAACTTTGCAGATCATTTACTTTCACTTACAGCTGCATTACACACTGCATGAAAGGCAATATTAGAAATGGCATAATAGGGGCACTTTAATTTTTGCACAGCAAAAATAATATATCTTGAAAAGGTTTTATTATATGCACATTTTGGTTTGTGCCCTCATGCATGAGTCTGAACAAAGTATTATATAATTGAGTATCCAGGACTTACACTTGCTGTAAATGGCCACAGAGAAAAACATACACTGATGGACTGAGTATCACACATTAACAGACTTATCATGCCGTTCTGAACACAACAAACAGAAGGAGACACGTGACATATGAAAACAATGTGTTCTAAAATTTTACATTTGAATTTTGAAAGTTTGACAAACATTTTTGATCTGTTTCGACTGGATAAAATCAAAGTCTGAAGCTAAAAAAATCTAAGTCTGTGCCCATCATACACTATGCGATTTTCTGTGAAATCTGTCAACTCCGACTACCCCAAATTTTTGTTTGTATGTTTTGTGTCAACTCATCCACATTGCAAATAGGGGCAAAAATCTGTGCGAATGTTGTGCAGTGTATTCCAGCCTTTACTGGCTTCAGCTGAATCGTTTGAGAGAAATAATTGCATTATGTTAAATACTGGATAAATATAGATACAATATTGCAATGTTTTAAAGTTTTTTTTTATTTTTTGATAACAGCAAACTTTATTGGAATCAATTATGATCTCTTGAGTCTGGTGTAGTTCACAAAAGGAGCACTATATTGTGCAGAGTTGATGCTTTAGAGCAGGGGTCTCCAAACTCAGTCCTGGAGGGCCGGTGTCCTGCAGAGTTTTGCTCCAACCCTAATTAAACACACCTGAACCAGCTAATTAAGGTCTTACTAGACATACTAGAAGCTTCCAGGCAGATGCAAGTTGAGGCAAGTTGGAGCTAAACTCTGCAGGACACCGGCCCCCCAGGACTGAGTTTGGGGACCCCTGCTTTAGAGCATTACAAATCTGTCCCTCATGGCTTTCCTTAAGTTTAGAATTTTATTTCCAAATATTTCAGATATGATACTCCCCTAGAAAGTAGTTACCTATGAAAACAAAGCAGCTTACTAGGTTTCAAAAAGGAGCAGTTATGTGAAACTCTTGACTGGTGATCTGGTGATGAATAAAGATTCAATGCATTATTTTTAAGTTGATCAGAACGGAACAATGGTTGCATTGAGTTATCATCAGCATGATCAACTGAAATCACCTACAGTATGTATAAAATTTCCAGCATGTCAGTATTGGGACAGCAGCAGCTGGTTTTGGTATCATGTGGTTTGGAATCTCTGGCCATGCCATCAGCATACCAGCAGTTCCTGTGTGACAGCGTCTGCCACATGAGTCCAGGCCAAAGCAGACAGACAGTGAGGAGGAATGTCATAGCTAGACAATGGCAGAATTAATCACCACAGCTGTACATACTGTGCTATGTGTTACACTAACTCACGTTCCAGAGTCTTCACATGCACCTAACTTTAGGTAAAGTAGGATACTGTCTATGATACCTACTTTTCACCAATTCTACATTCTTAAAAATAAAAGTTCTTTATTGGCATTGATTGGTTCAATGAAGAACCAATCTTTTCATTGCACAGAAGATTCTTTAAAGTGAAAAAGTTTCTTTCAATTATTAAAACGTTCCTCACACAAAGAGAAGGTGCTTTGGGGAACCAAAAATGTGAGAAAAATATACAAAAAGTATATATAAAGTACTGGTGCAAAAGACGAATTGGCAACTGCTGAAGAAAAACTGACAGAAAAAACTAAAGTAGTTGATTTTAAGAACAAATCTAGGAGAATCTGATATTTTCTTAAAGGAATGGTGCAATCTTATCATAATCTTAATATTTTCCAAAAAGAACAAGAGGACGCAAACCTCATCAGTTCCTTCTGGTCTTGATTTACCTGCTTTTGTGAGCCTGTACAAGGAGCTAGAACTGATAATTCAAAGGTATTAAGGTAAAGATTTAATTGTTAAACCATTAGTACATGTTAAAGATGTTTGACCTGGACTGTATTTCCCAAAAAGAGTACACTGTACACTAAGGGCATAGAATTTAGTAGGGACGCTATGACATGTCCCTACCAATATCCAGCGACTACTAAATTGTCCCTAACAATAATTTTGATCAAACAATTAAATATATGTGTATGTAACCACTGTTGTTGTAATTTTGGCGGCATCTGAAATACCATTGATATTATCTGAGAAGATAAAGTGAATACACCAGAAAACGGCGCACATTTAATACATGTGTGGAGTAAGAACATATAAGAGCAGAACATACGAGTGCAGTTCAGCTGACTGATAAAGTTTACCCTCTTTAACTTTATGTTGTTCTGCTGTATTGTGTTCATCTGCTTCTCCCATTTGCTTTTTTTTTTTACATTGACTATCACTGTATATAGACTAATACAATCAGTACAACAATAATTTCTCAAATATTTCAACTGAACTACAGTGCTCCAACTATTTCAAATATAGTCAATTAAGCTACAAACTCGATCATAATGCACAATGTTTCCATCTAACATGTATTTTGAGCTGCAGCTTATCATATTAAAGGGAACTATAAAAGACAAACTCTGGAAACTGGACATGTGAGCCTTATGTCAGTTTTAGATCTTTAATTGATAACATTTACGCCAGGGTTACAGTAAAGACACCAACAGGCTGAAGGTGGTAAATACCAAATACAAGGTTCCAACTAAAGCTACTACTTCATACAGCAGAATAAATTATACCATAGTAACGTACACACATGCTGAAAGGAAATGGGAGGAAAGCATGAACACAAATGCTAACGAAAGCAGGTGCCCAAGTTTGACGTCCCGGAGGGGCATGATGGGTAATATTTTTAATATCCAAATGTTGATTAACAAAGGTGTTAGCCGTGGATGATCTATACTAGAAGTCTTTTCATTTTCATTGCTCATTTGATGAAGATATCGACAGTTGAAAGGGAAGAGGCCGGGGTTTGGGTCAGGTGTTTTGTTTTAGAGTTCTTTTTGCCTTAAATGCACCCAGTGAAACGTTCACTCGAAGATTCGTTGAGGAATTAATTGAGTCAGAAGCCGTCAGTTAGCACCAAACACTGCTGTGTTTCCCACAGTCCGTTAAATGAGCCATCAGTCACTTCGTTCCAAATATTATGTCAATGTCAATACTTCATCTTTATTATGGATCCACGAAGGTGCTCTTTCTTAAGCAGAGCAAATTTGAAGCTAGGATTCATAAGCAATATGATTCACCTTCCATTCACTTTTAAGTGTGACTGTCTTTCATCGAGAGCTTCTCACATTGAATCCTAAGAAAAATGATACATAATAACTATTGAAAGCAAAGAAACAAAAGCAGTAAATATAAACACAAAATTACAATATAAGACTTACACATATCCCCTGCTTCATCTACCACACAACACCTTTGCTGTTTTAGTATAAAACATATTCTTTATAAACAAACAATAAACGATCTGCTTCATCTACTGTACAGTTCCATTTATGTGTCAAAATGTCACCTGCGAGTGCTACACAAATGTTGAAATTTCACAACTTTTTTTGTACAAACTTGTGAATGCACGAGATCTTAAATACAGGAGACCTGGCGTGTGTTTTTGTATGGGTTTGTAATATAAAAAAAGAAAATGAAAACCAGAGAGAGAAAGTAAGAAAGAGGTCGAGATGGATGATTTGATTGGTCACCTCTGTAATCTGGTCATAGACAGAAATTTATGGAATGTTGTCGAAATTATCATAAATTGTCAAAAGTATAGGGCCAGTTTGATTTAAAAAAAAATAAATGTATAATTTTATTCAGCAGAGATGCAATAAATTGACATGAAAATTGACAGTAAAGACATTTATAATATTAAATAAGATATCTAATAAATGCTGTTCTTTTGAACTTTCTATTCATCAAAGAATCCTGAAAAAATGTATCATAGTTTCCACAAAAATATTAAGCAGCTCGACTGTTTTCAACATGGATAATAATCAGAAATGTTTCTTGAGCAGCAAAGCAGCATATTAGAATGATTTCTGAAGATCATGTGACACTGAAGACTGGAGTAATGATGCTGAAAATACAGCTTTGCATCATGGGAATAAATTAAATCTTAAAACATATTCAAATAGAAAATACTTTTTTGAAATTATAATAATATTTATTGTTTTTACGGCATTCTTGATCAAAAAGACTTTTTCAAAAATATTTAAAAAATCATACTGACCCCAAACTTTAAAACACTTTTGTACTTGGTCTAAAATTCACTTTACGTACGTTTTAAACATTTTACTTAGTTAATACAAGTAAACTGTATTATCTATATGGAATGGTAAAAATGTTTGCATTTCCTAACTCAAAAAGGAAATGAATGACTCAAAACTCAAAACATAATATGAATGTTTGAAACTATTCATTTTTTTGTCTTCTAGTTTGATGGCTAAGTTTTGCTTCTCTCTAAAAAAAATTATAGAATAAAATCCATAACTTTCTAAATCCTCTGTCTATCCAAACAATGCCGTTTTCTTTCCCCCAGATGATCGCTGAGGACAAAACAGGCATTTGATTTGAGTGAGGGAAAAATCGTTGGTCCTCTAAAAGCACTGCTAATTCCCAGCAGAAAGCCAGAGAGTGGCCAAGTTTGCATGGAATGTCAAGTGAAATATGAAGGCAGAGAAGGTCAAATCGCTCAGGAACGTTACGGCTTGAAAGTGAAAAACCAGCAGTCACACTTTCAACACATACACTCGAACCCCCGTTTTAGCCCACTGCTAGCATTTCACGTAAAAAACCTCGGGTTTGAATTAGTAAAAAATGCTACGTGTGGATCTAGAAACAACAAAACGAAACAATAGTTACGATAATCAGAATTACAACAACTGTAAGGGCAATCGTAATAACAATATCGATAGAAAACAAGCGAGATTATCCGTTGTAATTACACTGAGATTCATACACGACTATGCACAGCAAGGTGAAAGTACATTTTGGAAATGGCTCGGAATGCATTCTTGCAGTATGCGGCGTCCGTCGACGTGCCTGTAGCCGTTGCATGGTCCTCTTGACCGAGTTAGAGCCCGCAATCAGGAGAAGGTCACGTCAGATGGAATGGCAAGAGTTTCTTGTCTTGAAAATCAGAAAAAAACCGCTCACGCTCATGCCGGCTGATGCAGTAAAGAGCTCCAGCTGGTGTCTGTGCATCTGAGAGCGTGTGAAGGGGTGTTTGTGGTGGTCGGACTCAGTAAGCCTGTCCCGTCTCCACCTGCAGAAGTCCCAGCACCGCCGAATGATCGCCCAGCTTCATCCTTCTCTGAGTCGACAGACCCACGTTCTTGGCCAGATAGTCCACAGCGGCTGGAGGAAATGACACACAAACACATTCTCATGAGCATGACGTTCCACATGAAAACAATCTCACACCAATTTATGCATTAATAAACCACCACTAGCATACGGAAGGCCTTCATTTTGGTTTGTTCAAATGGTTTGTTTCAATGAACTGGTTCAAAAACGTATTCAAATGTACATGCATTGCACTTTTTGTTGTTTATTTACTGATGTTTTATAAAATGGAACATTCTGGTCCTGAAGACTGTGTGGTCAATATGGCTTTTTAGGTGCATTTTTATTTATACTAGTTGCATTTACCATAAAAAAGGACCTAATTGTGATAAAAAAACAAAAAAAACAGTTCCATAAACAATGGTGTTAAAAAACAATGTTATTTGTGGTTTCAGCATGGCTTACTCCCAAACATACACTGTGAAAAAAAAATCTGTGAAATTTATGGTAAAATACCGGCAGCTGTGGTTGCCAGAACTTCACCGTAAAAAATATGGTAGCAACATTTTAGGTTTTACAGACTTAACTTAAATTCACAATAAAATACCGCATTGCATTAACTGATGTAATGTTAATAAACCAACATATTGAGGTGTTAATATCTGTTTTGAACCATTGCAATGCACTGATAACCACCAAAAACTGGTGGTGATGAGAAAGTCACATGATGAACCAAAGCTCATCACAAACAGCTTTTCTACGAGCTGAGGAGGGCAATACTTACATATAGAAGGTGCACAGTGTCATTCACACAAACACTAAACCCCATCATGGTGACACACATGATACTGAAATAATGCAATAAACATTGATTTAACAACATTAGATGTAAGATTAAACCCTAATGTACACAACTGATAATAAAAAAACTTAAAGAAACATGTTATTTCAACAAAAAAAATCATCAAATATGAAGTGTCATGCAGGGAATTCTGGGAGTGTCAATTTACGTTTTTTCACTGTAAATTATACAATGACTTTTTCTTTTTCACTTCCAAAAACGTATTTTTAACAGTATTTTACTGTAAAATTACATTTAATGTAATTACATTTATTCAACGAATATAGTATGGAAACTTACTGTTAACCAGTTAACAGATTCTTTTTGGAGGGCCACTGTATGTTGAAATTAGTTTATGATGTGGTGAAAATAATAGCTTTGAAGATAAAACATCTGTCTATACACACTAATTAATTCATGACTCATCATAGCTTATGGATATTCCTTTGAGAAATTCTGCATGGAGACATTTTACCTGGATCAAGAAGATTACCTTGACTTTAATGCTAAAAAACAATATATAGCATTAGATTTACAATAAATATCAATTAAAATGCATTAGATAACAAGGTGAATAATAAAAGAAAACTGTATCTTGTAAATACGGATTACTTCTGTAACTCTTAAAAAACTACTCATAAAATCGACCTGTAATCTAAAAATCTGCTTCAGCAATTTCAAATTTACAGATTTGCAATTACTAAATACTAATCTGAATTTCGGGGCGATGTGTCTCCTTGATCATGCCCTAACATTTATGGTAGCTATAACCCAAATAATTTTTGTCTTGGTGTTACTGTAGGTCAAATAATTAGATTCCCAGGGAATGCATTAGCTGATCTAATGTATGTGTTGAATGTAAAGAAAGTGTGGATAAAAGTGTTTGCAAAACATAGAAAAAAAAAAATGTAAATGATAAAAAATGCGAATGTAACCTTGTAAGACCCTCTGATCCATGAAAATCTGGGGTTTTCAAGTGAGGGAAAATAATAATTTTCACATTTGGGCGAATTTGTTTATGGAAGACCTTTGAAGACCATGTTGGACAGTTGGTATTTTTAGTGAACATTGTTTAATATTTTATCTTGTACATTTCTAGCTGTCTGTTACATGTCTGCTTTCTGTTTGTTAAATAAACGTTTTTTCACTGTAAATTATACAATGACTTTTTCACTTCCAAAAATGACATATTAAATGTAATTACATTTATTCACCGAATACAGTATGGAAACCTACTGTTAACCAGTTAACAGGTTTTTACTGTAGCATTTTTACAGTCTTTTACTGTTAAAATCACACTCATTTTTTACAGTGTACTCCCTTGCACTTTGTGAATCAGTTCATGTATTCGTGTTATTTTATTATTATTTCTATCCTATTATAGTAGTAGTTATTTTGAATGAGCTTTTATTTTTATATTTTCAAAAATAGATTTAATTTTTTTCAGAAAAAAAAAATATAAATTAGAAATGAATAAGTAAGTTTAATTTGAAGCTTATATAAAATTATTTATTTTTTGATTTTATATTAAAAAAAAAAAAGATTTTTATTTTATTTCAGCTTTAGTTCAATAACCAAAAACATTTTTTTAAATAGTTTTAGATAACAGTGACAACACTGATTTAATCAAATCATTGAAACAGAACTGACTCACTGAACTGACTCATATGAATGAATCATGTGATTCAAACATTACTGCATACTACTGACACAATCCATCACAAGTGTAGCACAGTATTACAGTCAGTAATCACTTCTTTAAACTTATTCAGCAAATTACACAAATAAAGATTGATAGAAGATAAAATATAAGCTAAAATGGGAATTTAGTCATTCAAGAGCCAGAGAGATGAGAATGCCTGGTGTCATTCATTCAGCTCTGTGTGTGTGTGTGTATGTGCCAGTCTTTATTACTCTGAGCGTTTGAGATTTCATGCTTCATACTCGCCTCAATTTCAGCAGCGCTCTCGTCTAACTCATTAAACAGATCAGTCCTCTCAATCTCACTCATAATTAACCTGACATTCGCTCGTCAGATCTCTTCAATCAACCCTCCCGCACCTTCTGATGGACCTGACACTACTTCACACTCCCACACACACACACACACACACACACACACACACGTTTACCTACACATCTCACTGGAGACACACCATAGACCTCCACTGTTTTCATATAAAGCACATTATAATGACTACAGACTAACCCAAACCTTTGTAAAAAAAAAAAAGAAATAAAATAACTTTTGAATAATTTTTACCTTTGAAGACATCCTCAAAGAGAGTTTTGTTAGATTTAGATAAAACCTACGGGAACTATTTTATTCCCAAATTACCATTTAAAAGTTTGGACACAATATCTCAAGGTTTGTAAGACGTATACATCACAAAACACACATGTAGATGGAAGCCAGTGACTTCTGTGACAACATCAGCCTCTGATTATGTTAATTCAATCAATAAATTCTTTCCTGCCCTGAAACTCGTGTGTGTGTGTGTGAGGTGAAGGACATTAGGACCCTCAGGGTGTTAAAGTGGGCTTTGAAGTACCCGTTTCTCAGTCGAGGGAAGAGTACTGTGACTAACAGAGGAGCCCGGGGCCGGTGCTGGGGTCTTTATCAGGAGCATGTGTCTGCCCTGCTCTGATGGGCAAAGGGGTCAAAGCGTCCTGAGATGGTCAGCGACCGGCACGGCTCACCCTCAGAGAGGAAATCAACTATAACTGCCAATATGCACAGGGCATCAGTGTGACTAAACTGTAATGGCTTCCCTACTGAAAAGATCAGCATGTGTTGTGCTTGCTCGTGATCAAAAATACAGTAAAAACACTACTATTGTGAAATATTATTAATCGAGCGCAGCGTTAGTTCAGTCAGGTCACGTAGGCATAGGCTACGAACAGCTGATGCGGTCAGCTGTCAAATCGCTCCAATCACTACCATTCTCCTATTAGACACGGGACATATATACGTGGCATTACTGCTTGGTAAGTATGCTCAAACTGCTCGCAACCCTCCCTCCCTCCCCATTTTAAGCATAAGCATATTATGTGCACCTTCTGGTTGTCGTCTTCTCTTGTTTCAGATCACTAAGGCTTCCAAGTCCCAGCTGCCATGGACCTCACTGCTGAGAGACACTCATCCTCATAACCAAGCTACAGTATAGACGTTCCACTGCACATATACACGATTACCACCGTTCGCTTTTAAAGACTTTACTAAGGTCTTAATTGTTATGTATTTCCAAGCTGATGGTTCCGGGGGGTTAATGTTAAAGCTCTTGTATGGTCAATTTATTCTGGAGCAAAGAACCCCCATAGGAACCATACCGCCAAAGATAAATTGTGTTTCAATAAACTCAAGTAACTTGCCAAAGTGGTCCTGTCTGAACTATTTTAAATAACTGTTTTCTATGTTAATATATTTTAAAATGTAATTTATTCCTGTGATGCAAAGATGAATTTTCAGCATCATCACTCCAGTCTTCAGTTTCACACGATCCTTCAGAAATCATTCTAATATGCTGATTTACTGCTCTGTTATTATAAATAAATTTTGGTGCTCAGTTATTAATAATGTTTTTTTTGCTACTTCATATTTTTGTGGAAATCGTGATAGATTTTTTTCAGGATTCTCGGATGAATAGAAAGTTCAAAAGAACAGCATTTATTTGAAATAGAAATCTGTTGTAATATTTATTGTCTTTACTGTCACTGTTGATCAATTTAATGCTTCCTTGTTGAATAAAAGTATTAATTTCTTTCAAATAAAATTACTGATAGCAAACAGTTTATGTAAAACAATTTAATTGACTAATTTGAGCTGAATGGCTTTTGCACCAAATGCAAGCTATAAATGAAACTATAAACTACAATTATATAAAATAGGTCATTTTGGGTCGTATATAGTCATAGTCAAAATATATAGAAAATATATTACGATTTCCACAATTTTTATTAGGCAGCACAACTGTTTTCAACATGAATAATAATCAGAAATGTTTCTTAAGCAGCAAATCAGCATATTAGAATGATTTCTGAAGGATCATGTGACACTAAAGACTGGAGTAATGATGCTGAAAATGAAATAAATGACATTTTCACAAACAGGTATTTGAAATCGTAATAATATTTACTGTTTTTACTGTATTTTTAATCAATGAAATGCACCCTTGGCGAGACTTACTAAGACATTTTCCACAACAGAGACATGTAATCACATATACAGAGTGTATAATGGAGGGGCAGTACGTACTCTGGCCGTACTGGCTGTACTGGTATCCAGCAGTGACGGGGTCCACACTGTAGCTGGTGGCGCTGTATGTGGGGGGACAGTAGGACTGAGAGGAGGCCAGACTGTCCACACTCTTGATGGGGTCTGAACGCTGGCTGCAGCTCACTGAGATAGGGTTAGACACCTCCAGACTGCCGTGGAGAGGAGAGATGGAGAAATCGTGCTGAGGCTGGGACGGGACGCCACTGGGGTTACTCAAAATACTCATCACCTAGAGAGACGCAAAGACAGAAGCAGCTGTTTAGCAAGTTTTGCATTTAATTCTGACCAAGAATAACTAACTTGCATGTAAAATGACCAGTAAAGCACAGTTTGCTTTTTGTGCAACCTTTAGAAGAATATAGAGAAATATCACATTCACCTTCTACTTAGTGTCTCAAACAAATCTTGTGAATACACCATCGTGCATCGTATTTGAGGAATGAAATACAGTACATGTTTCTTACTATTTTCGGATGCTGATTCCAGAAAACAGTGCCTGTTTTGCTTAAGCATGTCACACTTTCTCACAAAATATGATGCATATTTTATCATTTTTTTCTTTCTAGAACCATTTCTAAGGCTATAGAAGTCTTGTATTTTTTCTTAATCACCAGAGTTTACAATGATTTGTTCAATTCTGAGCCGATTTTTACATGCATGAATTCTGACATTATTTTATGCTTAACCCTGATTTCCATTTTCTCCACACAAGCAAGACTTCTGACAATTGATTTCCTTTGTTATTTTTTATAAGAACATTAAAGCTGATACATATACGTATATGCAATTAGAAAAATCTTCATTCTTATTTTGTGAAAAACTACATGATAGGAACTCAGCATCTTCAAATTTGATCATATTAAGCCTTTTTTGCACAGGGCTGTGATATCTTTCAAAGATTTGATGCTTTTTGGTCTTTTTGGCATATTATGTATTAATACAAACACTTTAACTCTGAACTCTTTTGCAGATATTTAATGTTCTGATTTATCAAACAGTATAATAGCAAGAGTTCTTCTCACACGGCAGGCCATTCTCAGGGCAAAGCGGAGGGAAGGGACAGAGAGTGAATTAGTGCCAGGCACAGAGCGCAGCCAGCGTCCCAGAGTGATTAGCAGCGGCCAGAGAGAGTGATACAGCAAAGGAAAAAGACAGGGGAACAAGGCCAGACCCATTAGACCCCAGCGGCAGTGCCAAACAGGCCCCTGTCCTGAGGCCTTCAGCACAACAAGCGCTGAGGGAGAAGATAATCCCGCCCCCAGGCCCCAGAAACACCCCCACGCTCATGAATAATAATGAGCAGCGGCCTCAACAGAGCCAAGTACGTGATCTCCCATCCCTAACACACAGGCCCCGCTCTTAAACTAACATTAATGTGAGCACAAGCTGCTTGTTTATCTGTTTGTGCATTGAGAAACAATAGATGGTTGAGTTCTGCATTATTAGTGGCATTTACAATCATTGGCAAACTCAATTAATGACTGGTTGAATATTTGCATACTACTCATACTACTTTTGAAATATAAATGCATATACTGTGCCTAGAATGACCTACAAAATTAATCAAAATGTGATTACAATCAGAGTACACTGCACAATGTTGTATCCCACAATGCAGTGCACTTGACTTCACCCTCCATTTCTAGTTTGAGGAATGAAACAGAGCCACAATTTTAAAATTTTTAACTCCTACAATCATTATTAGACTCACAAAAGGCATTACTCTTAATTAAACAACTTAGACCAAGTAAGCTCATGTGACAATTACGTAGCATACAACTATTTGAAACATTTCCTGTATACTATTTCACACGTTGGGCGGCATGCATGAAACACAAGCATTTTGTGTTAATGGCCTATAAAATAATTCCTTATAGAAATTACTGCAGTAATTTGAACACGATAGCTTACACAGGAATGGTTTTATGACCAATCATCACATATACAAAAAATAAAAATAAAATAAAATAAAATTATTACATAATAAACCTATAAACAAATAGAAATAAATAAAAAATGAATCCAATTTTTTGTTTTCATGACAAATTATCACATAAATAATTATTTTAAATGAAAAAGAAATTACATAATAACCCTGAAAATAAATATCTAAAATAATAGGAAAATAATATATAATAAATGAAATAAATATTAAAATATTACATTGAATAATAAATTTGTTTTAGGATTTTATGACCAATTATCACATAATCACCCCTTAACAAATAAAAAAAAATGCCCCCCCCCCCAATATATATTCTTAAATAT